AGATAGATTCTGAGATATCGCTGTACACAGATTTGGGGGACGCCACACGGACGGACACACATTTTTTCAAGTATGGTTATTTTTACTCCTGGGACCTTCAAACGTCTAGAAATGATGAAATTTCAACTTTTTTTTTTTTTTTTTCTTGGAGGATGACAATACTTCCTCTCTACCCTATGGGAGCGAGAAAGTAAAAATCTTCCTTGCTTCTGAAATTGCTAAAACTGCGCTGTATGGTTTATGATTTTTACCAAAGTTTAAGGGAGTTTTGCAATATCACTGTGCTTAATTGTAACATCCTTCTCCCCTTTAGTAGGGGACGGGTCCCAATCCTTAAGCACATGAAGAAAAAATAGCGTGACGCTCTACTTGACGCCCATAGACCATTACGTAATATTGGGACGGCCCCTAAGCGGAATGTTCATTTCGGAGGAATTAGAAGAGAACTTGTAAATGAATTGGATCAAAATGAACTATGAGGTCAGTGACGAAGCACGGATTATCAACTGTCGGTATTTTCCTGTTTAGATTTACGGAAAAGAATCGATTAGTAAGGCATACGTTGATACTCGAATACCCTGATAACCGATCTTTTGACGTATGTTGAAAAGGCAGAGTGATCGATACATCGCAAAGCACGCCACGCCACGCCACTTGTATGAGGTGCGCGTACTGAATGAACATCGGTCCTTCTGATTTGTTTCATTTAAACAGTTTCTCTCAGCATGCATACATTTAATTCGTTCTTTTTTAATGTCCATCTTTTTTTCTTCGAGTTACATATACCCACTGAAGGTCTGCGATTCATGAGCTATAAATTAGAGCGAGTCCGAAAATACATCTGCGATACTCGGAATTCAGACGATCCACTAAAGAATACGGAGGGACTGATTTTCTGGGATTTCATGAAAACGAAATCATAGAGGCATTTGCAGCAAATCTTGGAAAATGCCAAGGATCCGAAAGGAATATACAGTGGATTCGAGATCGGCTTTCTACAAATAACTTCCTACAGTCAATTCCTTGATGTATTGTGAGAAGTAAAATTTAAATGTCACCAATAGGTGGGCGCAAAAATTATAGGAGGTGGTCAAAAGTGAGACGTTGGGTGAAAAAAAGGACATTTCATAGTTGCGGTGTCCGATAAACTTCACTAATAATTAATATTTTAGAGAAGAAACGAATCAAGGAATTTTCTGCAAATTTTCGTTTTTAGTAATACAAAATCACGGAGAAAATTCAGCAAAAATGTCTACAAATTCCATACAACTGGCTTCATTTATAATAAATAATATGTGAGCGGAGATTCTGAGACACCGTGCCCAAGAAGTGTCCTTTCCGAATCCAGTGCTTCAACTGTATTACTTTCCGAAAAGCTGAAAAAAAGTGTCGAAACGTAGAGGAAAAACTTTATGGAGCCCATGAGCACCAAACTCCCGCCGCGCAGGGCATTACCGCTAGCGCTCTCTGGCGAGACTTCATCGAAGCGTAAAGCAGCGTTTGGATATCGGAATGTCCCATGAGGCAGCACTCGTCCAGCCAAGGACGATGAGAGCACAGTCTACGTTTTCCGTTAAAACGTCTAGAGCACTCTGCTGTGAAAACGCGGAGACATGGGATTCAACAGGGAACCGCTAGGTCGCACTCTGTGTTAGGTCCGACTGAGTTCTGGCGGGAATTCAAATCCTCCGAATACGTATTGATTCTCATTTCTTTTCGCCCACCACGCGTAACGAAGGGTGGTTTCACAGACCCCTGTGTTTATATCTTCGTAGTTGTTCGATTTCGTGGCGTTTTGTGATTAGACATCGATTTTAAGGATAATACTTGAGGCGTTGGGTGCAGAAGGGAATTTTTTTTTTTTTGTTGCGGTGTTTCAGAATCCCAACTGCTAATTTATATTCTAAAATGGAAACTATTGAGTGAATTTCCTGAATTTTTTTGTTTTCAGAATTTTACAATCATAAAGTAAATTCCGGAAGAGTTCGAACGGATTCCATAAATAGACTTGAATTATGGTGGATGAGACGTTAACGGAGACCTCAGACACAGCAACCAAGAACTAAGAAGAGCCTTTTCTGCACCTAGCCTTCCATTGCAGTCAAATGGGTAGGCAATCTTTCAGCGAGGAACTGATTCACGACTAAAGCTCTTCCTGAAGTGTCCAAAATTTACGGGAAGCATTCGGAATCCTAAATTGCTATGTATTACGTCACCCAAAAGTTACAAATTTAAACATGTTCTCAAAACAAATCCAAGACTTTAATTTGTGTTAGAGTGTATTGACATTAGAAGAGGGCAAAATCAGCTTCAGGACAGTCCATTTTTGGGAAATAAGTCTGTATCATGTTCCGAATGATACGAGGAAAGGAACCAGCAGCAAAAATACACATCAAACCAGAAGTTCAAGAACAAAACGGCGAAAAATAAAAAAATTCATAAGGAAACGTGGATCGATCAATATATGTGTAGGCTTAAAACGAACTCTTACCAGGTAAAATAATATGGTCGCTGATTTTTTAAACCATTGCTCTTGAGATTCTGAAACAAAAATAATAATTTATTAAGCTACTAGGGTTTGAATACTTAAATTTCGGCAGGCATTTTTATAATTAGAAAACTTCGCGTTTGAGGTATCTGATGTCTTGGAAGACAATTCCCGCAAATATGGCTTGAAAACAAAAATAATATCATGAGTTTGAAATCGTCCGCAGAAATCCCCTCAGTGACCTTCCGTGTGATTTTTTAGGCTAGACAGCAAAAGTTCACTGAGAGGATATTGTCTGACGAGATAATTAACCTCGGTAAAAATACGTAGGAAATAAGCTGCCATTCAACCAAACGCTGGGTGAAAATCGTAAAATACAAATTAATCTTAGCGTCAAAAAACTGAAATATAGTGATGAAAATCAAGTTTGTAATTCAGGAGTAGTATTGATGCGCATTTGTTTCCAAAAAATTGATGGAAAAAGAATTTCAAATATGACAGATATGACATTCTGTTACCTCACGAAATCCCTTTAATTTTTAAATACAATTTAATTCTATCGTGTGGGCTGAACTAAGAGGAGTGAAATTTGATAAACAAGAGGCGGGTTGGGGGTTTTTAACAGCCAATAGGATTTTCCTTAGGAAAAACCGTAAAATCAAGTACCCCTAAGACGCAATGGACCACTAGACAAGGTTTGGAGTAGAATAAAACTACGTCACATATTTCCTCATCAAAATCTTACATAGAAAACCATTCACATTCACACTACGAGAAGTTTTGAAATCAACTCCTGAACGATAAACTCAAGTCTCTTGAATACAGATAAAATGAAAGATCGATTCTACAAATGACGCCATTTGTATTCAGGGCCGGATTAAAGGGGTGGCCACATGGGCCGCGGCCCATGACGGCAAATCTAGGGGGTGGCAAATTTTGCAATTTTTTAAAATGTAGGGATAAAAAAAAATCGGATTTGGAAAAAAAAAATACAAACGAGAAAAGGCTGCAAAATCTCTCAATTCCTGAGAGTATAGTAATTTCTAATTTTGTCGTCTTGCACTGATACAAGAAACAGCACCTTTAATTAGTCGAGTTGAGAGAGAAACCAAACACACAATTTGGCCTGGAACGGCGCGACTTAGGGAGAAATGATGACGAGGACTTGAAATGAAAAGAAGAAGCCCTCGGCGCGGCAATCAGCATGTAACACATATTAGCGCCTACAAGACTGCACGAATACTTCACGCATTGCATCAAACAAAGTGCGGTTATTGTGGTCAGCGTGAAACGGATAGCGCCTACAAGAATGCATGAATACTTCACGCATTGCGCAAAACACAGTGCGGTCAGCGTGAAACGCATAGCGCCGACAAGACTGCGTGAATACTTCACGCATTGCGCCAAACACGGTGCGGTCAGCGTGAAACGCATAGCGCCGACAAGACTGCGTGAATACTTCACGCATTGCGCAAAACACGGTGCGGTCGGCGCGGCGCGGCGGCGGAAGTTAAAATCATTGAACCAAATTTTGTGTTATTTCTTTCATAATTTTTCCGTTCATTTCTTGTGAATGGAAGGCCTTGTTCATTAGGGATAGGTTTACAAAACTTGATATTCGCGCAAAGTTCCGTGACCTTTTGCTTGTAATGTTGACAGGGCTTTCCCAAAAAATTTGTTCAACACGAGTAACCGCGTCTTATGCACCCCTCCTCCGCTGGCACGTTCACTTCATGGTTTTTATCGATGTTTCAAAACGAATGAGAAGGGCGGCAAAATACAGGCGGCCCATGGGCGGCAAGTAGGAAAATCCGGTTTATATTTCTGCCGTTCACCTAATGTTGAAAGAAAACACATCTTGTTCAGAATCTTATTTTCAGACTTCACGTTACGTGATTTGTTTTCCTCGTGAAATTTTAAAAATAAAACACGTAGCTTAGTGCTTGCTAGTGGCCCATTATAGGTTGTTTCGCCGCGATGCATCCCAATCTTTAACGAAATTTCTCAGGCCATCGAAGGGCTCCTTACCCGGTACAAACACTGTCACAGTGATTCCTGGATGGCAAATCCTCCCCCCCCCCCCCCCCCCCCCNCTCCCCCAACCCCCTAAATGCCTCATGGTCGCCTCGAAAGTCAACAAGTTTTGAAAAGTGAATTCTCATTCATTTTTCAAAACAGTAAAACGATCAATTTTCCATCGATAACGGCACCGAAAAGAAGTGGAGTTAATATCACATTCTGGATGTAAAAAACGTGTGCGAGAACTCATAGAATGGTAAATTATCCGCCTCGGCAGTTAATTTTACATCTTGACATTGCTAAAGTAACTTTTGCGGCAGTTAATTCAGCATTTTGTAAGTTCTCGCACACTTTTGTTACATCCAAAATGTTAAATCAACTACACTTTTTTTTCAGTGGGAACATCATTGGGCCTGAAGGATTCCACAAGTTTCACTTTCATCTCCACATTTAAAAATGATAGTAACACGCGATTTCGGACAGACTTCCAGTACCCGCGAGGGACCGCAGACTTCATTCATGAACGAGCACATCGTTTATTTCCATGCCCTAATGAGTCAAGTACCGACTTGACGCGACCCGAACAACCGCTGTAAAACGGCCACCGCGTGGCGGTGTCAAACAATAAAACCGAACTTAACAGCCCACCTATCATTACATCAGCGGCAATGACAATAAAAATGTAAGTAAACAAATAATATCAATGATGTGCCGCGGAACGGCGCTCGTCGGAACCGGGGTTGATTTGGACGTATTCCTATCAAGCGGAACTATATGCATTAAGACATGAGCCCTGAGACCCATAAGAATAAACGCGTAACAAGGCTCACGTCATAATGCACATAGTTCCGTTTGATAGAGATACGTCCATTTATCCCGCACGCTGGATCGGCGCTACCAACCTGCCGGGCGGCGGGAACGCAGGACTACCAACCCGACGCCGGCATCGTTCGGTGTTTTATGGAGCCCTGCTCGGGTCGCGGGGGTGGCGGAGGGTTTTATGGGCCGAACGCAACGGAACATGACGAACGCGTGCCCCGACGTGGAGCTAATGGTTTTATGGCTTCGTTAGAGGCGCGCCTGGTTTTAGCTCATGCAAAAACCGCCCGCCACTTCTGCCGTGATCAGAAAAAACACCGTATGAACATTTGATAGTTGCCAAATTTCCTTCGATAAAAAGTTTATTTTGGAGGAAAGTTATCAATATTTTCCCTTTAAATTTTCAGAATCTTTAAATGAAATTGCGAACAATATTATCTGAAAAATTGGGAGGAAAATATTCATAAATTTACCAGGAAATCTGCGTTTTATCAAAGGGAATTTGGCAACGTCTGAAGGTTCAACCGGCGTTTTTCCTAAGCACGGCAGACTTAGGGAACTGCGTAATGGCGAGGCGTGAATCGATTTCCCCATTTGAAGCTATGGTAAAGGATCGATCATCAAGGTGTACCCGGCCAACACCCTGTTTATCGATATTTCTCCATAGGTTTAAATGGCAGATCATTCGATAGATCGCAGAGTTCGAAACGCCACTAGAACTGGGTGAACTTGGCGTGGAGGTTAGCGTCTAGACTGAGACGTGCCGGAATTTCGGTGGGAATTAGCCTCAGGAATTGCAGGAGGCCTTGATAAATCGATCGCAATTCGTTCTGCAAAAGAAAAAAAAAACGTGAATTTCAGCGGCTCCGCCACGCTGAAGGAACAAAATCATTCCAATGTTGCCATATCGTCCTTTCCCGGACGGAGGAACAAAACTCCATTTCAATGTTCACGGGAAAAAAGAGTCCAGACTCTTAGAAACATCGACAAGAAAAAATACTCTTGATTTGAGCAGATTTCCTTTTGATTTAAGCCTAAATCTGATTGAATCAAGAGTCGGTACTCTAGATACAATTTATTTTTTTCCAGTGTTGCCAAATTTTCTATTTATCAGGAGAATCTTGGGCAATTAAGATTGAAAATTTCACTGATGATTCCTCGGATTTCATGCGAAGATCGGAAAAATTTGGATAAAAATTACCGTCGTTTAAACTTGTAATAAAGTGAGCAGGGTCCTCTAACAGTTTTACTGTGGGGGCTTACCATGTTCCCTCCCTCATCGGAGATCGGTTTAAATTACTGTATTAATGCATTGTGAATTTTATTGTATAAATGCTTTAAGGCGTGTTGCTACTGCACTGAATTTGTGTACTGAACTAGTGGATTGAATTGTGTGATGTGTGCTGATTTTATGTATTGAACTTAGGTGTTGAATTGTGTAATGTGTACTGAATTTGTGTGCTCTGGCGGATCTGCTACCGAAAAAACCCTTCGTAGCACTAACAAGTGGATAGCGCGCGGGGCGTGTCAAGGTTTGAGCCGCGACGTACGAAACTCCTTCAATCCCAATCGACGCAACATTTTATTCACCTCTGCGCAAACATGTTCAAGGAGCTGAGATGTACCAAATTTAAAACAGTATCATTACGCCTGCTGACAGAATTTGTTTAAAAAGGTGTCCGTGAACCTGTAATGTGTTCGTACTCATGCAACTAACCACGATAAAGAAATGCGTCTCTGTCATTTAGGCTGCATTTTGCCGAAGCAAGCCCGAAACGTTAAATCGGTAAAATGAAAAAAGACGTTTACTAAAACATTAAACCTGTCATACCTAAAAATTAGATGAATAAAATTTACGCTTAGATTATTAAAAAGACACAACGATTAGAAAGACAGCTGATGAATTTGACATATTTAGACTAAAAGGAACTATGTTACAAAAATCCTACGCACATGGTTCCTTTTACCAAAAATCACCATGGGAGTGTACCAACTCAAACAAGCGCGATCCTACACAACAGAATATAAAGCTGATGATGGTCTGTATTTACTTTAACACTACTTTTTAACCCACAAAGAGTGTGATGATGTAGTTCGAGTTCAAGTGCAGAGTCGTCACGTGTCATCTAATAAATATTCCTTGTGGCTACAGTACCACGCATTCGGAATTACTGAATGGTATTGTCAGTGTAAAAATGGAGCGTGAGTCGTGGGATGTAC